GTTACATAACATTCGAGGGTTACATAACCTTTAAGTGTTACATAAGAAAGATCAGCTGATCGACATTCAAGAACGGTCTTGTCGAAGAAAAGCAAATGTTGATTTCCTGAAGGTTTTACATATCATAACACTTATGACGCCTTTGCCAGTGTGCAGTGGAGTGAGTGCTGGCGAGTGCGATTTTGAATTTACGCGTAGTCGTAAAACAACGTCTTTATATTGCATGCCGTGACAGCCCCTGTTCAATTTTCTCATCTAAAATGTGGTTTTTAAGAGATACTTTGTTTTTGTATTCCGCACCGGAATATTTTACAAGTATGTTTAGTCTAGAAACCCACGGCATTAATCTATGTACTAGTGGTACACATTCTTTTTTTATCCCTCGTGCCAATACTACTATCATCCAACTACACTTAGACGAGTACAAATAACGCCATTGACGAGTACAAATATCACGCGGTATTTGTACTCGTCGAGTAACGGTTAAACAGGTTTTCTCGCATCGCGTAAGCGAAGAATTGGATTGTAGTTACGAAAAAAAAAAGTGGCGGACAATTTGAATCACATTTCCGACAACGAAGAGTCAGAATGGCTGGCAAATGTAGGTCAAAGTTTAAGAGATGAATCGAACAAAGAAAAACAGTTTGACGACCAGAAAATTTCTTCATTTAATGAAGAAAATAGAAACCAGCTACACAACAACGCGCCAATTCCGCTCCGCTTCGCATACTTCTGTCACGCACTCCCCGTAAATAAATATCCGTGAAATTGCCCCGCACGACCAGGTCACTACCAACAGTTGAAGCTTTTAAATCGGCTATTCGTAATTTCGAAATTGATACTGACTGCTTTCCATTCTGTAAATAGCTGTAAATGTTTATCCGATTGTATCAATTACTAATTGTATATATTGTGTCTTATGTATTTACCTTGTTCTCCATAACTATTTCATTTTATTTATTCATTTATTTATTTCTTTACTCGGAGATATTAGCATGTTTATTTTTTTTATTTTAAATTCGAGATGAAATAAAGGCTTGTTGTTGTTGTTGTTGTTGTTGTACCCCCCGCCTGCCATCGCGTGACTGATGACAATTAACATTCCTCTTACATATAAAAAGAAGCCACCATTACATTTTGAGCATACACTGAGGAAACCTTCAGACGTGTATGCCTGTCATAAGAAGATGTGGTCGGATGTTTTTCTTACCTCCTAGATGCTATCACTGCTTTTGAATTGAATGAAATCAGAACAGAGAGATTTTAAAGCCTCGATCGCTATTTCCCTTTTTATAATTAACATGTTAGGTTACTTTTGTCCACATCTCGCTTTGATTAATATTTGAATTTGTCTTTTAGCCGAAGAGTATGCCATCTGATTGTTTGATTCAAGTTATAAAGCCAGTAAACAGCCTCCATTTTGTGATTCAGGTTGAAAAAAAAAAAAAAAAGGAAAAAGCATATATAATTCAAATTTTCCAATTAATACTAGTATCTCCTCCTTTTTGGCAACATTTTAACAGCTGATTGTATCATCTTGTACATGTTTCTCTTTCGAATTCCAGAGTCTAAAGTTGATTCTCTGCCCGTTAATTTCTTCTTAAACAATTTATTATCTCTGGTTTCCCTCCGTGGAGATTGAGAAAGTAGTAAATTGGAGTGTGATAACTGTGAGAGTGGAGATCCTCCTGTGAACAGATGTAACACATGCTGCCATTTCCTCGGTGAGTTCTGCACCCAAGCTCATCGGCAAGGACGTGGCTCAAGCTCACATGGCCTGGTGTCATTGAGGAAGCAAAAAGCTGGGATCTGTAGCTGTAACCAAACCCAGTCTTTGTCAGGAACATGATGGAGAGTTGCTGAAGCTGTTTTGTGAGACATGCGATGAGGCTATCTGTAGAGACTGCGCCATTGTGAAACATCGTGATCACCAGTACACTTTCGTAAAAGATGCTTTTGCAAAGAATAAGACAGGTGTGGTGGAGATTCTTTCAAGGACGAAGAGACAAGCAGGGTTGCTGAAGAAGGGAATAGATGGTGTATTACAGATGAGAAGAAGTGTTGCTTTGAATGCAGAACAGACTGTTCAAGAAGTCCACAACTGTTTTCAGAAATTGTCAGCTTGTCTGAATGCTCGTTGTGAGGAATTGATTCGTGATGTTGAAGAACTAAAAAAAATGAAAGAGAAAACTTTGGAAATTCAACAAGGAGAATTGGAAGCTGCTTTAGGAAGTGTGCAGAGCAGTGCAGAATTCACAGAGAAGGCTTTGGAGAATGGCAGTGAAGTTGAGATTTTGAACATGTGCAAGCTAATGTCAAGCCGGTTAGATGAACTAAATTCTTCAAAGTGGCAGCTGGAACCACATGTGCTTGATGTATTTAAGTTTCTCACTGAGGATCAACTGCTGGAGAAGATCACTAACTTTGGTCGTGTTGCTGATCATATAAGAGCGTATGCAAGTTTGTCAACAGTAACTCTGGGACATGGGTAGAGGGTTTGATGTACAACACAATCAGTGGGCAGCCTGTTGAATTCATCGTAACTGCTAAAGAGTGGGATGGAAGGAAACGAGAAGAAGGTAGTGATGCTTGTGAGGTAGAATTTCACACCCAATCGGGTGAAACTGCATTTGGTAACTCTGTCAAAGATATTGGCAATGGAACATACAGCTTCTATTTTACTCCAACATCAAATGATTACCAAATGTCAGTGAAACTGAATGCCAACTACGTGAAAGATAATCCCTTTAAATTGCTTGGTAAAAATTGGAAACTCTGCTTAGCAAGTAATATCAGTAAACATAAGGATCAATATACTTCCATTAACCTGAACGATGACTCAATGACGGAAATTTTCAATAGAAGAGTCCCAAATTACATGTATGGAGCAACGACTTACAACACCACAACTCCTGCTCAATTCCCTTTAACAGTGTTTGGGACTTCCCAATCTCAGTTTGGTAGGCATTCATGGAAAGTAAAATTATCTGATAATTTCTCTAACAATTTTTCTTTTGGTGTCGGTGTAAGTCCTCCAGCACATACGCCTTCTGAAAAGCAGTGGACATGGAATTCAGGAATGAAAAATCAGCCTTCGTTAGAGGAACCAAGTACAATGAATGACTAGGAGTTGTGACATAATTGAATTTTACTGGACTGTGATAATGGCACACTTAAAATGTATAATCAGCGTACTAAAGAGTCGGACACTTGAGAAGGTGTCAGTGGAATAGTGGGTCCCATGTTTGTAATGGATACAAATTCTCAATGTGTTTCTTTGGTTTTCTAGGAAAATAAGAATAAGTTAAGTAGAAAATTGATTTCTCCTTCTTACTTTGTGTAGGTACATTATTGGAATTTGATACTTCCTCTTTATAATGGGGAACTCAAGTTAAGAGCCCAAAAAAATGTCAAATTTTAGTAGCAAATTTGTAACTTAATACAAATATCAAAACTTAACTTTGGTCCTTTTTCGCTTGCAGTTTTGAACATTTCTAAACAAACTCAATCCTAGGTACCGGCAAAGGTCCAGTTTTGAAAGAAAAGAACTTCTAAGTATTGATGAAACAAAATAGTAGAAAAAACTAGTCTTTTTGAATTGCTGATTTCCTCATATTATGTCTCTGTAACATGTACTGGTATCCACAATATGGAGAAGAACTGAGTTTTTGGAACTTTTATGCGATAGTTACCCATTTAAGTGGACTGTTCAACAATGTTTGTACTTATCGCTCTGTATATGAATAACCAGTTTTGTTAGAATCCACTCATTGGTCAGGACTGTTTTAGCACTTTGTATATATTCTAGGCACAACTAAAACTGCTTCAGTCTTTGATAGGGTGTAATATGTCAACTTAGTAAAATTAACAAAGAGTTTCTAGATCACACCAGTGTCTATTTGTAACAAAACTAAAGTTTTGGCACTCGATGTGGAGTTAGACCACTTAGGACCATTTATTTACACAAGGCCCAACCCTAACCACGATTTTACGCAGGCAGTGGGCCTCAGGCATTCCCTATAAGAGGTTTGATTAAAGTAAGTAAAAGTCCTTCTACTGTCAGCTTTCAGCCTTCTTGACTCTGATCACAAAAATAAAAGGTCAGATAAGGGATTTGGCTAAATGGCTTAGAAGATAGCTTTGTTAAACAACAGCTAAACTTCATTTAAAAATGTCTAGTCCTAAAAGTTTATGTCCTTGAAGGATATAGCAATTGAGTAATTAAACAATTAAATCTAAGAGGCTTTAAGTATGCAGTATAAGATCTTTATGCATGTAATGGCCAGTTTAATTCCCTTCTTCATTCAAGATAATCAGGGTTCATGCATTGTACAATAAATGTGTGTTATTACCCAAGTGTGAGGTCAAGATGGCTGGATATTGAATGAGTTCTTTTTCGCATTTTTATGGACCAAGACAAAGTCAAGGTCCATAAAAATGTGAAGAAGAACGAGGCTAATATCCAGCCATTTTGACCAAACAAGCTTGGTTAATAAAAGGATTTATTATATCGCAAATATGTTTCACTTTATTAAGAATTAAGAATGACTTGTCTACTTTGATAGCCGGGAAAGAAAGCTAACTGTGTTTGTAGCACAACCAACTCACGAGAGTTGTTTCTGTTTTCTTTGTTTTGACTATCTTCTGCTGCCTTTTGTATTTCCATCACTAAAATTGTCCAAGAACTACAAAGTTAAAATAGTTCTAATTTTATATTTTTCATGCATAGGATTCATGCGGGAAACCTTGAGCAGGCAAGATGGGCCCATTTTTCCCGCTCACATAGCCAATCAGAACACAGGATTTGCTTGATCTTTTCCATGGGTGCAGCGAATGATGTAATAATTAACAACTATTCACTGAAGTGGAGGCGGTTAGTGGTGGATATTTACCGAACCGCGGTTCGGTAAATATCCACCACAAACCGCCTCCACCACTAAATATCCACCACTATATACTGAAACAGTGAGATAATATACACCACTAAAAACTGAAAACATTCTGTAAAAAATATCATTCAACTTTGATTTTCAAGTGAACAAGAGAGGTTGTGCAAGATTAATTTGCATTTGTAAACAAAACCTTTCTCATTGGTTTTTATTGATCAACTCCGCGTTAACAACTTATACCATGACCTTTAAACACGGCCGAACCAAATTTAGTCACTTTCTTTGTGTTTTCAGGGACTGCTTCGTCGTTAATTGGAGTGACTTCTTCGCTTGTCACGGATACAAACCAGGACGCCATTTTTTCCCGAGTTGCTCTGAGGTAAAAGCAAAGGATAGTCGGAGTTTGACTAGCCAATCAGAGCGCGCCTTCAACGCTATTCACTGCTTTAGTATAGACTAAAACTGGTTAGTAGATTATTTTGCTTTCTCTGTAGAATAACCCTTTTGCACCCTTACTTCTGTATCCGTATTCACCATACTCTTTTCTCGAAAGGAAACAAGTTATTCTTAACTCTTAATAATGCAAAATCTTTTTGCAATATAATAAATCCTTTATTAAATGAGCTTGTTTGGTCAAGATGGCTGGATATTAGCCTCGTTTTTCTTTTTTTTTTTTTTTACATTTTTGCGGACATTGACTTTGTCTCTGGCCATAAAAATACGAAACAAAGAACCCGGCCAATATCCAGTCATCTTGATCTCACCCTTGGTCAATAATGCATACATCATCCATCAGAAAGGTGATGAGAAGAAAATAAAATATCAGCAACATATTGTTTGATTTAAATAAATGATAAATTACTAGAACTTCAATCATAAGAGATGTATTTATGAAAAGATCTTAAAGAAAGGAAGGGTATTAAGACTACCTGATGGTGAAAATTATAGGACCAGTTATTTTGACTACAAGTTATGCCCAAATCCGGCCTTTTCCTCAAAAAATGAGGAATAACATTTCTTCTATCACTATTGACGAAGGAGTGCTTTGTAATTTAACGAATTCTCCCAGTTGACATGATTACAAGTGTGTGACAGATAGAAAGGAGAATTTATTTGAGATCTTCAATAAGGTTTAATCAATTATAACCTATATGTACAATCAGAGGTATAATGGTCAAGTGAACATTTGAGGGATTCAAGTCTGGTTCCTGAAGATCACATTCATTGCTTCAAACATTTGACTGACAAACAAAATTACTATACACTTGACTCAAATAATGACCTATCATCAATCAATCAATCAATCATTTTATTTAGTAATGCAGGTTGTAAGGAAGGGGGCAGCCATAAGGCTGATGTGGACCTACAACGAACTAATAAAATGTAAAACTAAAATAATTCATAAAGTCACCCTATGGTATTTAAATATTCAATATGAATCATTGTAATAAAGTTCATTAGCAAACAAGTCACGAATTAATTCAAAAATTTACATGCAATGTAATAAAACTTAAAAATATACAAAATCTCTGTCTTTCATAGCAATCATAGGCGCTTCAAAAGAGAAGCTATTTATGTTCTGTGAGAGCTTACGTAAAATATTTTTAAAACTGTCTTTTTGAATGTTCACATTAAAATTTGCCAGCCTAGCAATAAAATTCCAGATTACAGGTCCTCTGTATTGTGCTGATTCCTTTCCCACTTTGTAGTTCACTCTAGGGATTTCAACCTGTAACCCTCCTGTACGTGATGGTCTGTTGCGTAACTTCAAATTAAAAGGGGCATATAAGATTTTATCATTTAAAACATCGTGCATCAGAAGAAGGAGTCTTCTTTTATATATGTAAGAAATTGGCAACCAATTTAACTCTTCAAGACTTTTATCCTGGTGGATAACTCGTGCAGCTCTTGCATG